AGAGAGAGCTTGCTTAGATATTGGAGCTCATAATTGAGCAGCGAGGACACTGGCCCACATTAGGGAGTGACTGAAGACCAGGCACAGCCGGGATTCTGTCTGTGTGTGCACAGCACAGACCCAGACGACCAGCTGTGTACACCCAAGGAGCAATGGAAGAGAAGAAATAAAAGTGCCCAAGTGGTTTCAGAAGGAAACTTCCAGGCTGAGTTACAGTTTCCTCATTTGAAATGAAATTTAAGGGCTGGAGAGACAACTCAACAGGTAAAAGCACTTGCTGACCTTGCAAAATCCCCAGGTTCAGTTCCTAATACCCACACTGGGCAGTTCCCAACGGCATATAACTCAAGCCCCAGACAGAGCTGCTGCCTCTGGCCTCTGTGAGCACCTGCATTCATGCGCACATTTCCACGTACACACAGCTAATTAAAAATAGCGGGTGGCGGTGGTGCGCGTCTTCGATCTCAGCACTCGGGAGGCAGAGGAAGGTGGATCTGAGTTCAAAGCCAGTCTGGTCTAAAGATCAAGTTCTAGGACAGCCAGGACTAAAAAGAGAAGCCCCATCTCGAAAAACAAAAGCAATTACAAAAGGAGAAAAATTGCATGAACTAAAAACGAACATTTAACACCCGCCCCCAATCCTGTTCTTCCAGGAGATAACTGTCCACCTGTATCTGAAAAATCCTTCCCATCCACTTGTTCTGTTCACCACAATGTCCCCAGCATCTAGGTATGCTTGGCACATGGCACTAGCTCAATAGCATTTACTGAATAAATGGATGGACAAATGAAAAATAACAAATAAAAATCCAAATACCCTGCAGACTGCTAAAGTATTATAACTTACTTTATCAAGAAAGACATTTGAAATTGAACCTGAATAGACTACAAATAAATATATTTGGCCTCCCCAAAACAGAAAAGAGTATTAAAAAGATGTAACAGAGGCCAGAGGATAGCTTGTAGGTCACGAACCCTGGCTGCTCTTCCTGAGGACCTGGATTTGGTTTCCAGCACTAACTTAACAGTTCACTGCCTTTAATTACAGCTCGAGTGGATCTGGCAGCCTTTTCTAACTTTCAAGGACACTGTAACGCGCCTAATTTAAAAATACAAATAAATCTCTTAAAGGGAAGAGACAATGTAAAGGTCCAAGACCCTGAACACATCAGCACAATGCACTTACAGGAAGGCATTGGAAGGTAGGTAGGTCAGGAAGCAATGGCTGTTTGTTGACTAGTCATGGGGTTGAGTTGGAAGACAGTACCACCCACTGCCCTCAGGACTAAACAGCTTCCTTCCTAGGAGGAAACAGTAAAGGCATACAGTGGTTGCTTTGATGATCTCCTTAAGAGAGATTCAGTTAGTTCTTCTTTGACTAACTCTGGTTTTGTGGAGACTGCCCGGCCTGAGGCTCTGTCGTTCGTCTGAATTCACACTTTGCCCACACAGGCTTGGAAACCTGCTCCCATGCACTCTGCTCCTGCCCAGCTGCAGGTGGCACAAGCCTCTTCTAAGTAAAAGTCCCTAAGGTCCTCAACCTTCCAATGCTATGACCTAAGTACAGCACCTCATGTTGTGGTGACCCCTAACCACAAAATTACTTTTGTTGCTACTTTATAGCTATAATTTTGTTATTTATGAATCATGATATAAATATCTGATTTGAGGATATCTGATGTGACCCCTGCGAAAGGATCATTTGACCCCCACAAAGGGGTCATGATCCACAGGTTGAGAACCACTACCCTATGCCTCCCACTCAGCAGCCACCTCACCTCTCTTTGAGTTGGGCATGCTCACTGGGTATGCGACAAGCTATACCATGACAGGGCCACCAACAGGACAGCAGGGCTGTGGCCTATGCTCACAGGATTCAAGCAAGTGCCTTAGCCAGGCCTTTCATAAACAGAATCAAAGATGAAATATACAGAGTCCAACGAATGGATCACAAATCCTCCTGCTCAGATCCATGGTCACATCCACCCAGACAGACAGAACACTAATCAAGCTCCATCAAAAACCGAAATGATTGTCTTGGTGCCACAATTCATCTTAACAGGCAAGAAACATCATCCATCAGCTACCCCGGTGGAGGCAGCAGAAAATGGCAGCACACAAAGACACTTCCCATGATCCCAAAGAGCCACTTGAGAATGCAAAGCACCAGGTCCTGAGCAAAGCGCTTCCCAAGAAAGCACTCTTCCCATTAAATGCCTGAATGAGACATTTCAAACACTCTCCATCTCGGGACTGCATCAGAATCGCCTGCTAGCTGGTTTAAAGACACCAACACCCGGGATCCAGTTACAGACGCACCTACTGCACTGCTCTAGGGAGAAGGGCCCAGGCGCCAGCCTGTGCCAGGCAGTTCTCATGTGCAGTCAACTTCTCTGACACCACTGCAGCTCAATCTCAACTGCTTGGACCCAAACTTCCAGGCTGTTGTCTTAGTCTAATCCGTGCTACTGTAACAGGATGCCTGAGGCTGGACCATTTATAAAGAAAAGCACTTACTGCTTACAGATCTGGACTGGGAAGTCGGGAGAGCAAAGAGCTGCGTGCACTCATGGCCTTCACGGGGCATCTCAGCACAGGTGAAGGAGGGAGGGCACGAGCTCAACTACCTAGCAGTCAGCGCTTTTATAATCAGCATGAGTCTACTCGTGTACTCGTGAGGACGGTGCTCTCATGACATGAACTCCAGCTAAGTCCCGCCTAATGCTGCTACACAGCATGAACTCTGGGGGAGGGCCCAGCTGAAGCCACCACAGATTCTTAACCTCTAATGACTGGAGACTGTCCATCAATCCCAAGGGCTGCTCTAGGGTTCTCTAAGGAACAGAAGAGAGAGCGAATGTGTATATTACAAGGGGCTTATTAGACTGGCTTACACTATAGATTGGGTATTCCAACACTGGCTGGCGCACACTGGAGAGTCAGCCCATGAGGAAGGACGCCAGCAGACCCAGCTGGCTCTGGAGGCCTGGAGGATTCCTGGAGACCTCGGTCTTCTGTCTACATTGGAAGGCCCAAATGCTTCAGCCAGACAACAGACGAACTTGCCAGAAGAGAAGGCAAGCGGCCAAAAGCAGTTTCCTTCTTCCACGTCCTTTGATAAGGGTCTTCCCACTTCAAATAATTGGACCAAGAAAGCCCCTCATAGGAATGCCTAGCAGCTTGTGCTGTAGTCAATTCCACACATCCCAGTTGACAACCAAGATTACCCCTCCCAAGAGCCCTTGCTGCTTCCGAGGTTCACTTAACCCAGTGAGGATGGAGTGTCATCATGTGTAATAGGGAGGCTGCTTGTTGGTTCCCAGCCGCTTAGCCCTAAAATAATCACACAGAAACTGTATTATTTAAATCACTGCTTGGCCCATTAGCTCTAACTTCTTATTGGCTCTTACATATTAATTTAACCCATCTCCATTAATCTGTGTATTGCCACATGACAGTGGCTAACCAGCAAAGTTTCAGCATGTCTGACTCTGGCATCTCTCTGACTCCACCTGCTTCTTCCCAGCATTCAGTTTAGTTTTCCCTGCTTAGCTAAATTCTGCCCTGCTATAGGTCCAAAGAATTTCTTAATACATTAATGGTAATCACAGCACACAGAGGGGAATCCCGCATTAATCATGCATGTGTTATCTCCCAGTGCCGCCCACTGTGAGAATATGATCCTGGATGCTCTGCTATGTAGCAGGTAGACACTTCTGGCAGCACACAGCATCTCCAGAACCCGCCTCTCGCCTCAGATGAACCCTGAAGCTTATGTTAGGACCATCAGCCCTGGCACAAGGGACAGAATTCTTGTAGATGGTACTCCTGACCATGTGGGGGGAAATAAGGACCAGCACAAGGCAAAGTGCTGTTAGATTTAAATGGTCCTGTAAGACATGAACTACATACTTCCCAGTGACTGTTGTTTCTCAGCTACAACAGACGGTCAAACGCCCTCACTCACAGCACACCGACACTTCTAAACTAAAGAGCGCTGGACTGGGACTGCCTGTAAGTGAAAGCTGGAGCTGAGAAAATTTGGAATACCAAGACAGCAAGAATAGCATGCATCTCAGGACTAATTCCTGCAGTGCCGACACCGTAATTGGCGGTGCTACTGCACTGCTTTCCGAAAGTCTTCACTTCCCTTCATCTGCTGCCTCAAACGTCACTCACAGATGACCACCAAGTGCCCACTCCCATCAAGAAAGCTTTTATGTTATGACTATGTTAAGAATAGTAAGCTTGTATATTGAATTTTGTAGGACCACATTTGGAAAAAATTAGGAATCTTTAGGATTATATTGTTAAAAAAAAGCTTCAACTGCTCCAAAACATCTCTTACTTCCTCCCAACATGCTCCTTCCCTGGTGTGGGTGCAGGTGAGCTGGTCCCACGGGCATGAGAGCACTGGCCCTGCTCCTTGATGCCTGTTGCAATGAGTGAACTAGCCGGGGAAATGCTGGAGAGCTCACCCTGGTGGTGTCGATGAGGTAAAGCTGGCAGACTGACCAAACCATCTACCATCCAGGCCCAGAACCAGGGATGTGAGCAGGGCCACCCCAACATCTACCTCATCTATGAACTGCTAGAGCATGTGAAGGGGCCAGATCTGCAGGTCCAAAGCTGCAGGATCTCCACGACACTAGTCAACAACAGGATATCCAAGGAGTCCCAAAGACGGCCCAATACTGAGAGTGTGATAGAAGCTAGAGGCCTTGAACCTGACAAATGATGCATTGCAATGAACAGATGTATGGACTAAAGGGTGTACTGTGTGACTCGCGGGGTCACACCACAGCTTCCATGACAAGACGTTTTCCTTTTGGTTTGTTTTTCTTTCTTTTTTAATGTAAATTTTAGGGGTTTTTTGTTTTTTTAACATTTTAGTTTATTTTGGCTGCAAGGATAGAGGGTGGATATGAAGAGACAGGCATATGAATGGAATCTGTATGCATGATGTGACATAAAAGAATTTTTAAAAGTTGAAAAATATGTAGCACTTTAGAAATGGTTTTATTTATGTACAAATTAATAGGCAACATTCTTTCCATTCTGTTTTCAAAAAACAATGAGGTTTTGTTTGGCTGGGTTGTTTGCGTTTTTTTTTTAATTAAGAAAATCAAAAATGCTTGGTGTGGTAGTACACACCTTTAATCCCAGCATACAGGAGGCGGCAGGTAGGTCTCCGTGAGTTCCAGGACAGCTAAAGCTACACAATAGAGAAAGCTTATCTCAAAAAAAAGTAAAAGAAAACCACAAAATAAATTTTAAAAGGCACCAAGATTCTTCTGTTTCTAGACTACTGCTGGGCTAGAGAGAACTGGAGTGGAGGGAGCAGAAGTCACAGCTTGGAACTGAGCATTCTCCAAAGCAGTACTAAGATGCCATTCAGACAGTTTATTAAACCCCACCCCACCCCCACCATCCACAAGCTGCCGACAGGGCAGACAGCCCAGCATAATTCAGCTGCACTGTGGCACTGTATGAGGCCATTATGCAAGTCTAAGGAGATCCTAAACAAACTAAAGCAAAACAAGAGACTGAGGTTGTCATGAGAATGGTTAGTTCCTTGCTGTGACCTCTGCATCAATAACCCTAATAAATAAACTATCCTAGTGCAAGGAAAATATTACTTTATTACGAATTTCACACTAGCATGATAGTCAGTGCAGAAATGTTGCCTGGTGCCATTAAGCAACGACTCAACCATGTGATGCCCACGGTTCACACCTTCATCTACACACAAACTTTCGTGTTTCTGTGAGCATAACACAGTGAAGCAGCACATTGAGTTGAGACCTATCACCCGCAATGGATACTTTTACAGGCTGCACTGTAGAGAGAAGCACATGAGTCACCTTTGCCTGGGGGACATTATGTAACCAATCAATAACTTAGGGACCGACAGTCTCCACTGGTTTCCAGTGTGCGCAGGGCTGGCTGCAGGCGGCACCATTAGGAAGCACCCTCCATGTCCACATCCTCCTGTAACTGCTGTACCATTTTTTCTTCCAGCTGCTTTCCTTTGCCTTTAAAAGATGCAGTATAATGTAAGTAAATACAGTACAGAGATTCTCCAAAGATAAACTCAAACTTAAATATAAGGAAAACATAAAGTGCAGGAACTTGAGTGTGAGTCCCTACAGCAGCAGCCATTTCTAAGGACTTAGGAATACTAGTCACACTACTATTCCTCACAGAGTTCCTACAAATGCAGAGCATTCTACAAACTCATCTCAAACCTTACTGAACCATGAGAAACCACAGACAGATGCACACCCTACATCACTCGGCTGGAGAGTCCAGAATCTAAGGCTGGGATGTGACTTCAGCTACCTGGATGCAGGGCCTCTGGTAATCCTGAGATTTGCCATAAAAAACCAATTCCACCATTTTGAGCCAAATTTGAAGTAAGTTTCTACTAAATATTAAGTACGGGCCAGGCCCACTCCCGGGAATTCCTAGCAGAGTGGCCCCAGGCATGTTTTATAGGGGCTTATAAGGACAAACCCAAACAGCCAGAGTTTTTTCACATGAGGCTTTGTTATTTTTCCTTTTCTTTTTCTTTTCTTTTTTAAATTTATTTACTATGTACACACATGCCAGAAAAGGGCACCAGATCTCATTATTGATGGCTGTGAGCCCCCACGTGGTTGCTGGGAACTGAACTCAGGACCTCTGGAAGAGCAGCCAGTGTTCTTAACCTCTGAGCCATCTCTCCAGCCCAAGGCTTTAGTATTTATATTCTAAGAACTACAATTCTCAGCATTCCAGGAAGTTACCTGGTACTTGGGCAGGTGGAGCTTACAGGTTAACAAGGGTCTTACAAAACAGCTTTAGGAAGTTAGCTGGGGCCCAATTACACTAAGCACAAAAATTCAGATTTTCTGTCTCTCTACTCACCTGCAAGAGGAGCCCGGATAAGATGGATATTCTGTTTGACTTCTTTGATATCCTGAACCTTCTGGAGCTCTTTGTTTTTCTTCAACCTGTGATAAAATGAATCAAAGCCAAACTGCAGTGACTAAAACTTCTGAGATTTGAACTCCCACCACAGTCACTCATTCACTGCCGACGCTGTCAGTACAGGGCACAAGCGGGACTGGACAGGGGCGGCCACCCTTCTGCTTCTGCTCCTTCCTGTTCTCCCACCTCCCACCCAGCAACAACTGCTGTGGGCCAACAAGGAATCAACTGGCTCCCAAATGTTTATACACTTAAAGGCAAAGTCACCTGTTGAGCCCTTACTGACAGTCATTCTCTTCCCTAATAGTTCTGTGGAAATTATGTTCAAGTTCCTTGGTGTGGGAGAATTGTTTGTATTCTGTCAATCATGTTTTAAATAAATGCTGATTGGCCAGGCAGGAGATATAGGTGGGAAAACCAGACAGGAAGTGGAAATGATGCAAAGAGAGCAGGAGAATTCTGGGGAGGAGGAAGTTGATTCCTCCCACTCCTGCCCAGATCACCAAAGCAGCAGGATGTGATCTGCTCTACTAAAAAAGGTACTGAGCCACATGGCTAACATAGATCAAAAGAATGGGTTAATCAAGATGTGAGAGTCAGCCAATAAGAAGCCTGACCTAATGGGCCAATCAGCTTTATAACTTATAGAAATCTCTTGTATGATTTTTCTCTGGGACTAAACAGCTGGGGGAACAGGGCAGGACAGAAAAACCCCCAACAAACAGGCCCCCTCATACTACAAATCATCTTTGACCAAGGGAGACCACCTGAACAATCTCCAGTAGAAACAGATGGCTCAGATGCCTGAGTTCTTCGTCCAAAACCGGTTCAAGGCTGCTGCCTGAGATGATCAAGACTCACAGGATACTTCCTTCAGTCAGGACTTGATCTTAACTCTAAACTTCCTTTAGGTCCCTATAAGATTATCAGCGCCCCCAACCAGCTAAAAGTAGCTTACAATACTACACCCACATTCCCAAAAAATAAAATATGGATATTTTCCTTTGTTTTTTAAAAAAAGAGGGGGAAGTGGTGCGGGAGAATTGTTTGTATTCTGTCGATCATGTTTTAAATAAATGCTGATTGGCCAGGCACGAGGTGTAGGCGAAAAAAAACAGATAAAAAATAAAAATGATACAAAAAGAGCAGAAAAATTCTGGGGAGGAGGAAGTTGATTCCTCCCACTCCTGCCCATGTCACCAAAACAACAGGATGTGAGCTGCCCCACTAAAAAAGGTACTGAGCCACATGGCTAACATAAATCAAAAAAATGGGTTAATCAAGATGAGAGAGTTAACTAATAAATAGCCTGACCTAATGGGCCAATCAGCATTATAACTTACAGAGATTTCTTTATGTGATTTTCTCTGGGACTAAATAGATGGGGGGCCGGGCAGGACAAAAAACCCCCAACAAGCTGGCCTGGCCATTCATGTTACAGTTCCTAATAAAGCAAGATTTCTTTCTAGCAACCTATTCATTCACTGAACCCCCTGTACCTAGGGTGGGGGGGGGGGGGGGGGGCCTCAATGTGCATCCGTCGACAGAATGGGGTCTGACTGCGGGCTCAGAGCTCATTTCCATAGCACAGACACAGGCTCTACCACACAAGGTGGTCTCCCAACTGCCACTGTGTGCCCCTCCACCTCACAGAGCACAATCTCCATGTTGCATAGGTTTGTTAATTATTCAGAAATTACAGGAGCATAAAACACTTAACGACATTCATCAGAAACACTAAAAGAGCTGTTCAAACATCCACGCTCACCTTCTGAGGTGCCAGAACGCTGCTCTTTACTAAGGCTTCCATTGTGTTCAGATTTAAAACTACTTTTTGACAATGCCATGGCTCAGGGGTAGAAGCTCTTGCTGACAGCCTAACTGTTCAATCCCTTGGACCCACAGAGAGTAAAAAAGAACCAACTCCTGCAAGGTATCCTCTGAGCTCCACATACACACTATGACACGTTCATGTGCACACACATGAACAATTAAAAAAAAAAAAGAGGCTGGCTGTAGTGGCACACTCCTTTAATCCCAGCACGCATGAAGTAGAGGTAGGAGAATCTGACTGAGTTCCAGGTCATTGAGAGCTACACAGTAAGACTCCTTCTCAAAGGAAAAAAGAAAGAAAAAAGCTAAAGATGGCTGAGTGATTAAGAGTACTAGTTGCTCTTGCAGAGACCCGAGGCTCAGTTCCCAGCACCCACATGGTGGCCCACACTGTCTGTAACTCTAGTTCTAGATCTGATGCCTTTTGCTGACGGTGCACATAAACACAAAACACTCCTACACAAAATAAACTTTTTTAAAAAAATTAGTAACAGATAAAAGTGAATTTTCCTGCTCTAAAGACAGGAATTAGCTCCTCTAAGGCTAATTAATCCCTTGCCTGGACAGGGAAAGCATGTGAACTCTGAAGTTCTTGCTGTCCACACATGAAACAACAAAGAACTAAAAAATGTGAAGATGACTTGTCAACCTGAAATAGGAGAGTCTGAGGAACCCCCACTGGTCAAATGTGGGCCATGCAGAACATCAAAACAAACACAGCAATATGAATCACAGCGCACCAAACACCACAGGATTCCATGAGCACAGATCCAATATGTTTACATGAATAAAGGAGAGATTCTGAAGGTGGAAAAAAGGGAAAGCCGTTTTATAGGTGAGAAAGTTCCCCACTGACCAAGGCCAGAACTCCTAGGGAGGCCAAAAACAAGAACAAGACTGAGGAGTAACAAGCTTTTTCCAGAATCTGCTCCACATGAATTACCAAGGAAAGAACAACTCTGTTAGGGAGAGACCTGGAGACACCACTGTAGAGTCAGAGGTAACAGTGACGGGACACATGAGCAAGGACACTGTAGTGACTGGCACTCCTTCCAAGTGCACCTACCTAAATCTAGCCAGACAAACCCCATGAAGAGACATTCTATCCAATAACTTGATCACTATGGACTCTTCAGAAAACGTCTGGGCCTTTGAGACAGAGCAAGATGGGAACCTATGTACGTGAAAGGAGTTCAACGAGCTTACTGTGTGGGAAGTGGAAGCAGGCTCTGCTGGTTACAACAGTCCTGCATCACACCATGTTTAAGTGAGGAAGAGTCTTACACAGGACGGGTATCTACACAAAAAGGCATAAAAAGTAGAAAGCACAATTGATGCGGGAGTCCCCTCTGTGTGCTGTGATTACCATTAATGAATAAAGAAACTGCTTTGGACCTATAGCAAGGAAGTTAGGTAGGCAGGGAAAGCTAGGCTGAATGCTGGGAGAAAGAAGGGCAGAGTCAGAGAGATACCAGGGAGACAACATGCTGAAACATCATGGTAGGACACCACTTCGTGGTGATACATAGATTAACAGAAATGGGTTAAATTAAGATGTAAGAGTTAGCCAAGAAGAAGCTAGAGCTAATGGACCAAGCAGTGATTTAATTAATATAGCTTCTGTGTGGTTATTTTGGGAGTCTGAGCAGCCGAAAAACAAACAAGTGGCCCTCCCTCTAACACACAATGTCTTCAGCTCACTGTCCTAGGGACAACAATAAAGTGAATGTAAAATGCAGAGAAAATATACAAGTGTTTGCCATACTATTCTTTCTACGATTTTATAAGTATGAAGTTATATCAAGATAAAAAAGGGGTTTAAAAACACCAGTGCCTCTAGAAATCTTGTAATTATTCCTCTACAAATAAACATACCTGTTCATTATAAACTTGGCCTGCCGTTTCTGTTTGATCTCTTCAACCCTCTTCATTGCATCAACTAAAAACAAAATTACAAGTCAGCAAATTTATGCACATTCAAGCAGTATGATTATAACAATTACATTAAATACTTCTGCAAGACTTTGGCTTAAATGAAAAAATTCAATACAAAACAATCGCTATGACAGAGCTACAGGTATGAGGTGTTAGCTGAACTCACTACTAGGGTCAGTTCACTGCATAAGGCAGTTCAGGGAACAATGTTAGACTCCCACACTGTCCACACAAACACTTCTGAAAAGTCTGTTTCTAGGATTCAATACAAAAGATGAGCAAAACCCAGACAGGGAAGAAAAGCAGAACCATATTGCTTCTACAGCATTTCCAATGGAGGAAAGAGCCTGGAATAACTGAATCAGACAGCAAGGAACAGAAACAGGAGTTTCTGAAAGAGGACAGGGACTGTGTATGGTCTGCAAGCCGAAGGCTGCATAAAAGCACTATGGGAGGAGAGAAGGCAGAGCAGAGGACCTGTCTCACACAAAAGTACTAGCACCTCAGAGTTCATATGGCGGACACCTAGAACACCAGCACTCAGAAGGCCAAGCCTGTGAGCCAAGGCCAGCCATGGCTTCACAGCAAGATCCTCTTAAAAAATGAAAAGAAGGAATTAAGTTTTACAACATTTATCCTCCCTTCAATTGAAGTCCCTGCCTCCTTCAAGGAGAAAAAAAGACAAGTGCTGAACAGTACAGCTTTTAATTTTGGGCCTGCAACTTCAAGATATTTACCCAAACAAGCAGTACACCCTGAAAATCTGTACTGATGGGCTAAAGTGTAGTACCGTCTCATCTTAAACACAAGGCATACACCTGACCCCTGGAGCAGCCGCTCTAGATTGGCGATGCATACTACATCTGTGTATTTCCAAGCTGGCTCTTGCCTCACCCACCGAAACATTTCCCTTATTTATTCTTTCAGAACTTGGTGGTGGGCTGGAGAGATGGCTCAGCGGATAAGAGCACCAGCTGCTCTTCCAGAGGTCCTGAGTTCAATTCCTAACAAGCACATGGTGGCTCACAACCATCTGTAATGAGATCTGGTGCCCTCTTCTGGTGTGCGGGCATACATGGAGGTAGAATGGTGCATAAATAAATAATTTTAAAAAAAACAGAACTTGGTGGTTTTTATTTTGTGTGGGCACTTCAAGTTTAATAATTAGATTATTTTTATATGGATACACCAGTCAATTTCTAATGTATCCAATTCAGTTAAATTCTAAATTTGGAATAGCTTATAGTAAAAGACAAACACCAACAGGACCACTAACATTGGATGAAAAAGAGCCAAGCAATGAAGCAAGTTTAGTATTCATACAAGTCAGCATTTAACATTACCGAATGGTCACAAAAGCCTCCCCGATACTCCCCACCCCCGAGACTTACTAGTTTTATTCCATAGCTCTCGCTGGTATTTCACGGGTTCATTTCTACGCTTTTCAAATTCAAATGAGTTGTCCTAGAAGATGGTACAGAAGGTTGGTAAGGAGGTAATAAGCAATCATTGTTTAATATGCTCCTTTTCACAAAAATCCTAAGTAGTCAAATATGCCCTCCCTGTAATACTGGGGAGTACCAGCTCTCAACTAGCTGAAAACAGCCCAGATTCTGGGGAGACGGGGGACTCTCAGAGGGAGAGGAAGACCATTCCCTCCTTCAGGAGCAATCAAACAACCACGAGAATTACAAACAAAACTGAAAAGGTTTCCCCAATCTCCCAGCTCCATATGAGAATCAGCCAGCAACCTCCATCATTTGAACCATTTTCCTTACATGGAAAGTCAAACACCAGCCAGGCGTGGTGGGGGACACCTTTAATCCCAGGAGGCAGAGGCAGGTGGATCTCTGTGAGTTCAAGGCCAGCCTTGTCTACATAGTGAGTTCCAGTACAGGCTCCAAAGCTACAGAGAAACCCTGTCTTGATACACACATACACACACACACACACACACACACACACACCAAACACCAAGAATTCAAATTGTTTCCATCTAAGAAAGAGCTTTTACAGTCAAAGGGTGCGAAACTACACACCTGCAGGGTGTAACCTTTGACCTGTGTGGCTCTGGACCCTCCAAGTGGGGGTATTTTAATAGTTATAAGCATTAATCCCAAGACATGCAAAACAGTTTGAAAAAGCTGCCTGTATTCCTTGGCTTTCAAATGAATATTAACCTTAATGGTATCTATCATGTTTCTTCACCCACACTCAACATTATCTTTTAAATTAACTGTGATTTGGCCTCCCATCCTGCACAATGCAGTTGTAGACAGCTCTGATATTAAGAACCAGGAATTACAGAAAGGGAGAAGGGTCACAGGGTTAGAGGGAGGTGACAGCCACAGAGCAGTATAGTAACTTAAAACATCTTTCTCCAGCAAAGGACAGCCTACAGTTTCCCTCTTCTCCCTCTTCAAGAGACCAATTGCCGACAAGTTTCAAGAGATCCGGGCACCAAATCTCTCAAGGCGTCCTCTTAGCCCTTGGCGTCCCCTATACCTACTAGCTAGCTTCTGTTCTCTGGCAGAGACCTACCAAGGAGCTCTTGGTTGTTAATATTCGTTCCAAACCTCACCCGCGCCTCACTGCTACTCCGGAGCACATCAGCTCTTCTCCCAAACGCCTCTCAATCCTTAACGGGCAAATTCCACACTTCATCCAACATATTTAAATGATTTTCTTTTCCTTTTTCTTCGCAAAGACCAAAACAATTTTGTGGAGATTTAAAAACTAAATAAATAAAAATAATCTACAAGCTGGGGTTGCCAGTTTTTCCCTTGATTTTAGGATCACATGAGAATGAGAGCCTGCATAGACATATAAAATAAAGCACTCACAACCACATGACAGGACCCCATGGTCAGGCTGAGTGACCCTCACTGTACTCACCACCGTGAGCTCCTTGCCAGCTGCCTTCCGGAAGGCTTTAGTCCACCTGACCTTGCGTGGATTCCGCTTCTTCTTGAAGTTCCTATGACACTTGGATTTGCAAAATCGGAACACCTATAAGACATTCAAAGTTAAAATAATGGAGTCAACAACAAGAATGTTTCTGTCAGGATACCCCTCCTAGCCAGCCAATGAGAACTGCTGTAAAATCTAAGACAGGACAATGGTTCTCATGCGCAACTGCTGACGACACCAAGCGCATGAGATAGCAGAGCAGAAGGGAACTCCAAGTGTTTGGTGGGTGTCAAACACAGCCCTGACAACAGCTAAAACTCCTGAGACAAAAGAGACTAAAACTTATACTGACCTAAGTGAAGGAACAATTCCGAGAGAAGTTCCTTAAATCCCTTCTCAGAATCATACTCCTACAACTCTAGAGAGGGTGAGTTCTGAGCAATGCTGAATCCTAATTTGTTTCCTTCCAACTGAAAGCACAAAATATTTTCAAAAATAAAGCTGCTAACAGGTCATTTTTCCTCTTCTTTTTCGCTGTCCATTTTATCATTAACAATGAGTTCTGCAGCGAATTGCTTTTTTGCTGTTGTTCTGAAAGAAAGTCTTACTGTGAAGTCCAGGCTGGCCTGCAACTCAGAATCCTCCTCCCTCGGCCTCCTACCTGCTCGGATTATGGACGCTTGCTCCCATGCTGTGTGCTGGACGTGTTTTAAAAGATCACATTCATAGCTCTAAGGCAGAGTCTTCACTGCTTTAATTCTCCACCTTCATTCCAAAGCAGCACCAACTTTCAGCTTACTAGCTTCAATGTGTTTTTGAAATGGATAGTAAGGCTTTTCTAAGTCTAGGCCAAATTATTTTATTATCTATAACGTCTTTAAAAATAAGGCAATCTGTGTGCTTGTGGAAGAACCATGAAAAGTAGCCTTCGAGGTTAATGGGTTTCTAGCTGAGAACACTAATAACTAAAGTGTATGACCCAGTGACACCAGCTGAAAAGAAAAATATGAACTACATAAACTAAGAAAGCCTGTACACACCAGGTGGTGGTGTTGCATGCCTTTAATCCCAGCACTCAGGAGGCAGAGGCAGGTGGATCTCTGAGTTCAAGGCCAACCTGGTCTACAAGAGCTAGTTCCAGGACAGTTAGGATTGTTATACAGAGAAACCTTGTCTCGGGGGTGAAGGGTGGGAGAATACACACGAATACACACACACACACAAAAAAAAAAAAAAAAATTCAGCAAATGGGGGAGGAGAGGGTAACCGATTCAAATGGGACCAAAGTACATTATTATGTACATGCAATTATGAGAATTAGAGAAATGGGATTCACTCCCAATAAAGAGGGTAAATACATGTACTATGTAAGGAGGCCTGCCACAACCTCACCCTATATCTATACTGTTCATATTAACAGCCCCACCCCAAGCCTTTATCATTCACACTCCAATTTTTTTTTTGAGACTCGACTGTTCTGTTCTGCACCTTTTATTCAAATAGTGCAATTTTCTACATAGGATGCTCTCTCCCCTCGCATGCAGAAATCGAAACACGGAACTCGGGGGAAATGAACCGGTGTAGCCAGGATGAGTGCGTGCTCCGAGGCTTCCTGAACTTGAGACCAGAGTAAGTCAAGGCGTCAAGAACTGAGATCTTGTCCTTCACAAGTTTGGACCGTCCCTTGTCCGCTAAAGGTTTTGCTCCCGAAGGTCTGACAAAGTGGGAAAGTGAAGGTCGCGAGGAAGCCAGCTCCCCAAAAACCCTCCATTCGGAGTCTCTCCTAGCTTACCGCCAACAACAATACAGAACTCTTATTAGGTCGCAGGCACCAAGTCCATTAACCTCTCCAGATACTTCCACCTCCTGCCGCTCCCTGTGCAGTCGGACAGCAGCAGGAAGCCTGCCTGAGCCTGCGTTCGACCGAGTTCCTGACCCTACGGCAAGCCGAGGTCCAGACTCCCAGACTAGGCCACCCCGCGGAGCCACGAACCCGGCGCGAGCTGCGCGCGCTCCCGCCCCCAGCCGTCGTCGGAGGCCCGCGGACCACGGCCGCCTCACCTTGCAGTCGTTGCGGACGAACATCATGCCGTGGCCAGGGTAGATCGGCCCGGAACAGAAATAACACTTCTCGATCCTCATGTTGAATCCGCGTGGGCCCCACCTCCCAGGCGCCGAGCTTAAAAGGAAGTGTTGCGATGCATCACGTACTAAGCACCGGAAGCAATTCTCTGACTCGACCGGAAGTGGTCTTTGGAATGCGAGCTGTACGTGAAGGCGCCTCTGGACGAACGCGTGCGTAGCAGCATCCTCGCCCTGCACAGCTTTAGAGGCTGTATTCTGCATCCGGGTTATTTGAGTCTGTGGGTCTGACCATGTTCTATACCTGCTCATCCAGTGCTACGGAACTTTTCCGTGTATACTCATGTTATTGTGGTTTGTGTTTTGCCATGAGTACGCTCCTCACGCCAGAATATGGCCAAGTGCTCGGTTACCCCAGGCTTACCTTCCCCAAATGGTTTGGTAGAAGTACGCAGAGAGAATCTCCCTCCCCGGCCTCGGGAGACAAACCTAGTGAAAGTCAGGATAACTTGAGCAAGTATTCTCTCCCCGCACCATGTGGATCCCAGGGATTGGGCTCGGGTCCCTTATCCTGGCTTTGTATTTTTGAGAGAGGGTCTCACTTTGCATAGTCTGGAACTGGTTCTGTAAACCAAGTTGGCCTCGAATAGAGATATGCCTGCCTCTGCCTTCCTATTAGTCGGATTAAAGGGGTACAATACCATGCCTGACTGTTTTTTAAATCTGTATTTTGTTTTCCTTGCATGCAGTGAATAAAAAGGAACTATTTTCCTTACCATCCCACTGAGGCTCTTCACCAAAACGTCATACAGAATGTGTTTCTACACACATCAATATGGCTAAAATAGAGAAAAATAGTGCCACAATGAAGCAATAGGACTATTGGGTTAGTTTTCCAAATAAGCACAAATCCGTGTAGAAGAAAATACAAGTTCTAACAGATTAATCACCTCTAACTTCTGATTATCCTCCAAAATATTTTCAAAACTATTTTTCTTCTAGAGTATTTTCTAAACTACATTTTGGGTTTTGTTCTTTTTACATTTATTTATTATTTATATTGATAGAGATTTTAGTCTGACAATGTCTTTTAAAGATGTATTTATTATGCATACAGTATACTGCCTGCACACAAGAGAGAACCAGATCTCATTATATATGGTTATGAACAACCATGTGGTTGCTGGGAATTGAACTCAAGACCTCTGAAAGAGCAGTCAAAGCTTTTAACTTTTGAGCCATCTCTCCAGCCCCCAATTTTTTTAAGATAGAAGTGAATTTTAATATCTTGATTTAGTAGCAGTATACACTAATATATTAATTAGCATTAGATTTGTAGGACTACAGTATTTTGGGGCTTTTTTTTTTGCGCATGTGCCCTTGCTTTGCTTGTCCCTCCTCAGTGCATCTCCTAGAATTGTGCTACCTGGTCTCACTGTGCAGCTCTGGCTGGTCTAGAACTCGCTATGTACACCAGGAGGACCCTGAACTTCCAGAGATCTGCCTTCCCCAGATTCCTGAGGGCTGGGATTAAAGACACACAGCACCACGACCCTGCCTCCTGGCATTTTTTTAAATGAAAATGTCACAAATTACTGTGTGCTGTTAGCCCTACCACCTGAATGTTTCTGCACGAATGTGGAGCATTCGGCTGCCTCCACCTCAAACTTCTGAGACTGAAGACCCACGTGCTCTTGAAGTTCAGGGAATTCAGATGACCCCAGAAAAGTCCTGAAGAGGACAGCATTGCAGGCCAAGCCCTCCTACAATTTCCTTCCCAGAGTGACACTAGCCAAAACCAAAACCAAAGAGTAGCAAGTGACATATATATATAGATGTGTGTGTGTGTGTGTGTGTGTGTGTGACTCGATATAACCAATGGATCCTTTTTAGTTTATATATTATGAATACAATGTTCTGTCTGCATATGTGCCTTCCCACCAGAAGAGGGCACCAGATCTCTTAGATGGTTGTGAGCCACCTTGTGGTTGCTGGAATTGAACTCAGGTCTTCTGGAAAAGCAGCCAGTGCTCTTAACCTCTGAGCCATCTCTCCAGCCCCACAAGTGGATCTTTCAAAGCCAGTTTTGTCAAATAAGCAAATTTCAAACCCCAGGTCCACTCAAAGGCACTACAAGTAAAGTAGCAGGTGGAGAATCATTGGCCCTGCAAGGCAGCTCCATCCCTGCTGGACATACAGGGTTAAGGAACAAGAGAAGTGATCCTGTGAGTGTTGGGGTGGGGACCAAACATCCAAGAGAAGTGATTCCACCCTCCTCAAAGAAGAGAGTGAGAGGGTGTCCAACAGCCCTAGCTGATAAAGAACACTGTTCCCTTTTTACCATTCAAACAACACACTTTAGAGGATGCAGCTCTTTATTGGAATATTTTCAATTGTGTTTTCAAACATTAACACTAGGGGAAAACAAAAAGTTTTATTCCATTCTTCCAACTTCAAAGGTGAAAAAGAACCAAGATGATGTCCAGAGACTTAGGCAGGGGTTAAAGTACACCTCCTCATTCATCCCAGGCTTGCCTAGAACTAGAGAGTCCCCTGTCTCTGCCTCCAAGGAGTGGAATTACTGATGGGTACTACATTTATTCTAGTTCAACACGTGGGTCACCTTTATAACCTGGTACCTGGTTTCCAGACAGCCTTTGGAGGCTCTATACTGGCACATCCAGAGACTGAGGGGCTCCAGTCTCATGGCTCTCCACTAGAGAACTCTGGGTCATCATCCCCCTCCAAGAACAACCTCAGGATACTTCTGGGGCGGAGACTCAGGCCTCTACAGAATGCTCTACAGAGTGGCAGCCTCCTGAATGACATCCCGATGAACAGCCCCTGAGGTATGCTCAGTGGCAGCCTCACTAGCCTCCACATGGGCCTGCTGGGTGGCAGCTTCAGAGACAGTCACAGGAGCCAACTGTTTGGTAGCATCACCAACCTGCATGGGAGCCAGCTGTTTGGTAGCATCACCAACCTGCATGAGAGCCAGCTGGGTGGCAGCCTCAGCCACCTCCACGGGAGCCAGCTGGGTGGCAGCCTCAGCCACCTCCACGGGA